AATTTTTTATTTTAACCTTGATTTTATTGATATATAAATGGATAGAATGTATTTTTTTATGAATTTTACAAAATTTTTAATCTTAGTGAAAAAAGAATTTGAATGCATAATTGAAGTTTTTGGACTTAAGTGTAAATCTTTTTGAAAGTTTAGGGATTATATTGCGTGAAGATAAAAGTTGCAACTAGGGACTTAAATGAATGAATTCGAAGTTTTAGGATCAAAATGCTCATCTTGCAGAAGCTGAAGGATCAGAAATGCTATTTTACTATTTACGTTGCAAAATGGGCTTGAGACCCGACACCGACTGGGTTTCGACACATGTATCGATGCTATTCGCTTAGACTTTTGACTTGTAGGGTGAAATGGTGTCGTTACCTAAGTAATTTTTAGATACTCTCTATTTTTTATGTCGGTCCTATATATTTTTTAACAAAATTTTCTTAAAATTTATAAATTCTCATTTAGGATTAGATTTTGTAAGCTTTTGGAGAAGAAGAAAGACACAATAATGAAATATTCAACCTCAAAAGAAAATAAAATTTTAAGATTTTATATTGTTAAATTAATTTTACTTATCTTTAAATTTTGCATAATAATTTCAAATATGCTTATATTTATCATGGAATACTTGATTTTCTTTTATTTCATTATGAATCAATTTAGATATATAAAATTATGATGTAGTTTAGTCAATTTAGTATACAATTTTATAATTTTTAATTTATACTTTTAAGTCCTTTTATTGTTCTATACATTATATATTATTCTTAATACTTTTTAATAATTGATTGCAATTAAAATGGATTTGGAGTGTATAATGGAGATCGAGAGAAGATTTTACATAATAATTTCTAGTAATATATATCATAAATTGAAAGAAAGTTAGGAATAGATCAACGTAACTCGTGTAATATTAGTAATAAGTGGATTTAAAAGCTTCTATGTAAACTAATGAGTTTTACATTGTATAATACATTTTAATCTATTTAAATTCAAATTGAGCTATAATGAGTTAATAGATAAAAATAAATTTAATATAACTTAAGAAAATATATTTAATAAATCTAAAAATTTCACTGTCATATAAATAATAAATATCTTGAAAGTATACTAATATAAATTTTATATTTGTTGATCATGATAAAATTGAATGTTTTACAATTTCAACTCTTAGTGTCATTTAAACTAATTTCTTATTTGCTATTAGTTTAGATACTTAGTTTACTCTTTTTTTTTTTTTTTTTTTACTCTTTTTTTTTTTTCCTTTTTTTTTTCTTTTGATAAAACCAAAGATATCTTAATAATAGAAAAATTAAAATGTATATATGATTTGCCATATATGTATAACATAAAAATAAAGAAGCATAACTTATAGTACAAATTATAAGCATACTTTAAACTAATTTAATCGATGCATTTAAAAAGCTAACAATCAAATATCTACCTAAATATCATAATTAGACTTAAGTTCAAGATACAACAACTAAACCTCTTTTTAACATTGTTGGGGATAGGGGGTTGATGAGTCAGCAGTGGGGATAATGTGGAAGTTGATTGGGATGCCCTCTATGGGAAATAAGGCGAGTCCTTTTAGTTTGCACCCATTTCACATGCAAGAGGTTACGTCCCACAGGCTTTCTCCCCTTATCCAATGAAGATGAACTACAAGTTCTCCAATAGATTTGAAAACATATCTTCTCCAGCCAAGTCAGAAGAGTGGAGCAGTGATGACAATGTCCCAAGATCAGAATTCCACAACTACGAAAAGAAAGGAATGGCTGATATGCATTATAGCAGGAGCAACAAGAATAGAAAATATAACAATTGACTTTTACAGTTTGAGAAACAGATTTATATAAAATACATTGTGCAATAATAATAAATATAATAAATGTGTCCCCTGTTATCCTTAATAAATACTAACTCTAAATATGCAACCCTCATATTGGAGCTCAAAATACAACAATCTTCTTCAATCTTGCATAAAACTAAGAAGAATAGACTAGAAAGTAATGATGGGAGAAGGAGGGATGACCATTGTAGAGGGCTTTTGATGGAGGACTTGATCCCATATGATGATACTAACTCTGCTACTGATTGATCCCCTGATACTCAAGAAGGACAACCCAAAACCTTAGGCTATGACATGAATTCTTCCAGCCATAATGAACTATAAGTTTGGAGATAATTTGTATAACTAGAAATGTAAGATAAATGTGAAAAATGGATGCTTCTGAGGAATGTATACATAGATATGAGCTTAGAAAATGTGGGGGAAATGAGTGGCAACAAGTCTTGAGAATTTTAATAGGAGATCGAGTCATGAGGTTGAAGATGAAGATTTTCTAGAGTAAAAATGTGTGTAGTTTGCAAAAAATGGATTTTGGTCTTTGAAAATGAAGGAAAAATAGTAAATATACAGGTAGTGGCATTTTGGTAATTTTGAGTTTGTAGGACCAGCATAGCACAGTAATCCAATGGTTAGATTTGAGTTGTGTAAGGATAGGTGTCAAGTTTTGGGATGATTTGGGCACTCTCAATAGCTTTTGATGTGTAATTATGAATTCTCCAACATTTCCAACAAAGAATTATTGGTCTGCTATTGGCTTTCCATTCTTGGCAACTTCATGCTTATATATATAATGCCATATTTAGTGTGCAATTGAGTATCGCCGGCAAATCTTTCTATATCTAAGATTTTGATAAATTTTCTAAGCAAAATGTAACCTCTTTTACTAATTTCCCATGCAATGAAACTTGTGTAGTTGTCCATGCATTAAATACAAGTGTAAGCTTGTAATGGAGACTTAAATGGTACCCTTAGTTGGTTTTCAATGAGATTTCAGATCTTCTAGTTAGCATCAGCATCAAACGATGTAGTTTTGGGATCAAGTTTGGTGTCCGTATATTTGTCGTTCATCCATTTCTAGTGAAAACAAGTAGCATTACTGACCCCAAACTTGGCTGACATGAATACTATACTTTGCCAAGCAGACAACGTTTATCCATCCATGCCTACCAAGCCACTACTCCCATAATTTATCTTGAATAATTCCCATGAACTTAGGTTCATGGGTTGTGTTCATTTGCATCAAAGAGCACCATATGAATAAATATTTGTTCAAATATATCAATGTGAAATATGTAAGTATTTGTAGCAAAAAAGAATACTCCTTGTGCATCGAAGGGGATGGATTTTTGATGGATTTTTATCACTGAAGGGTAGCCATCCCAACCAATCACAGGGTTGCAATAGTTACTGGTCTCACACTAATCATATTGAGTTGTGCTAACTCTTTGTCCGTTTTTGGGAGCCAGTAAAATAAAATATGTTGAAACCTAACCCTTTATTCGTTTCTGAGAATTGGTCTAGTAAAAGTGTGTAGAGATATGTAGCCTTTTGCTCGTTCCCAAAGGCTAAGTAAAATAGCAAGTTTGGCCCTTTCTCCATTACTAGGAGTTGTGTAGATATAATAAAATCAGCCTATTGTCCATTAATGAGAGCCATGTGGACATAATAAGATAGACTCTTTATCCACTATTGGGAATCAATAAAATGTAGCAGCAAATGTTGCAACAAAAATCATGCTCGTCACAAACATCTAGTCATGTCGTAGAAATAAATGTAGTTGTATCTGGCCATATATATGAGAATAGTGTTGAAGTAGATCATATTTAACGTTTCTAGTGGAGTGGGTAAGTGCTGCTTCTGGCGGTATTGATTCCATTACAGTTATCAATAGAAAATAGAATATAGCATGTCTAATGTGGAAATAGATCATATGAGCCCTTCTTAGTCACAATTCTATAGTCGGTCTTGTTGATGTGATGCTACACATATTATGAATTCCAAAGCAATACAAATTCATCTCTCAATAAACATAATCCACCTAAACATAAGATACTGACATGACCATAGAGCTAACAACTAAGTTACAAGATGTAGAAAGATTATTTTGTAGACTTCAACTATTGGGTAACTTTATTTGTTGTACCAGTATCAGAGTGAGTAAGCAGCTTTGTAGAATAATAGTTCCCTTCTACTAAATTACCCTACAAATATTACTCTCTCTATTCATTTTTAGTAGATCTAGTTTGATTTTTTTGACTTTTATGACATGAATTTTGGATGAAAATTTAACAATTTACATGAATAACAATTGAAATTTTGTTGTCCTTATACATAGTTCTTATTAAGTATTTTTATTTGATAAAAAAAAAAATTTCATGTTCTTGAGTTTGGGTAGGATTTGACTGAGTTTTGATTTATTTGCCTAAAAATTGAACCAAACTGATTTTCAATGGTTTAGGTTGTGGTTACTAAATCTAAAAACTGAAAAATTGATGACTAGAATGAATATAACCAAAAAAACCTTGATCAAAAACCTTTTATATAAATTTTTTAATGGAATCTAATTTTTTTAAAGGTTTTTTAGTCACTTTTTACTAAATTATTCATTTATTTGGATCATTATTAATTTCTAGTGAATGAAATTAATAAAATAATAATTCAAAAAATCCCTAAAAATAATTTTTTGATTTAGACCAAAATCGATCCAAATGATTACTTTTAAAAATATAATCAAAATTGATAAAACTTGTCTTTTTTAATTTAGTTAATATATATTAAAATTTAAAATTTTAATTAACCAATAATTTTATTTCAATTATAACCAAAATCAAATCATACCAACCTCTAATATACTTTGTAACCATTAATTTGTATTAACAAAATAAAAGTTGATTTTTAATTTATCAATTGTCTAATTAAAATCATATAAGTGTTATTTGTACAAAAATTAACATTAATTTTTATATTTTTATATAAATTATTTGTTAAAAATGTATTAAAGTTGATTTTTAATTTATCAATTGTCTAATTAAAATAATATAAGTGTTATTTGTACAAAAATTAACATTAATTTTTATATTTTTATATAAATTATTTGTTAAAAATGTATTAATTACGGTTTTAAAAATATAAATTAAAAAAATCCTTATAAAATTTTTAAAAATCAAATTAAAAACAAAAAAAAATATAATTATACTAATTAGAGCCTTAATTTTTAAGACAAAATCCCTTGATATTTATCTATTCTTTATTCTCATTTGGTAATAATAGCGTTGTAGCAACATTAGTGGTTTGGTCGG